GCCATTTGCAATGATTTTTTATATTCATTATTATAGATTTTCCCATTTGGTTACTTTAATCCATAAAATACAATATAGTATAAATATTGTTTTATATACAAATGGAAGTATATAATAGCCTCTACATTATTCTTTACCTCATTTAAACCTGGAAATTACTGATAATACTTTATATTATTGATAACTTCGGTATTTGAAGGAACAAGATGTAGAGCAGAGTCTTTAAACCACCAGCCAGTGATATATGTTGAAGCCAGAAAATATTTTTATTTTTTGAGAGGTTTTTGCTATAGGACGTGAGCACTCACTAGAAAGAGAGACAGAGAGACAGAAAGCGTGAAATCAGCCCCCAGGAGGGATGGCCATGTTGCAATCCCTTCTCCTCCATTCTCCTCTCTGGATCTTGGGCACTCATGCACACGCACCTGGCGTGAGTTTAAGCCACTGGGACCAGGACTCAAACTGCGGTAGACTACATGGGAGTTCAACGACATAGCCATCACATCAACTGCTGGTCCCCAATACTTTTCTTTTAAGCCTTTGAAATTTTGATGCAGTTTGTTAATGAGCACACCACAGCATACCAAAAAAAAAAAAAAATCCTCAACAGCATACCAAATATGACCTTATGAAGTAATGTAGGTATTGGTACCAGCAGGTGGCGTTATGGTTTTGTCGCTGAGTTTGGTTACCCCTATTCCATATCAGGAGGACAATGTTTGAAGGGTATATTTTATATTAGCTTAAAGAAAACCACCTTCAAATGGTAATAAGTTTACAAATGTGACCCATTACCCACTTTCTCTTACACTGCTCCCTAAACTCCTGTTGTAAAATTGTCTGTTTTATTATAATGAATCAAAAAGGAGTCTTACTGAAGAATTTGTAACCTTTCTTATCTGCATTTCTGTTATAGAAATTAGTTTCTCAACTGTAGAATTATGAAAGAGTTGAGGCACAGTTAAAGTATGCAATATAAGTATTGACCATGAGTCATGGGTATATAGGAGTTTAAAAACACCCACATGAAACTGTGGCACGTATACTCTATGGAATACTATTCAGTCATTAAAAACAACAAAACCCTAGCTTTTGACAGAAAGTGGAAAAATATGGAAGATTTACTGCTGAGTGAAGCAAGCCGGGCTATGAAGGAGAGACTCTGTATGTCCCCACGTAATATATACCGAATGTCCACACTCAGTAACTGAAACTGACGGACTAAAGGATGGACAAACACAAGAGGTGGATGTGAATGACAGATGCGGTGTGTGCGGAGGAGTGGGGCCTGGGGAAGAACATTTGGAGTAGGGATACGAAGACAGCATTGTTGAGGCAGGGAGGGAGTGTTGTTATATTTTTATCAACTCGACCGGGGAGAAATGTCCTTATATTGAAATGATCACCTTCTAAGCTAAATAATGTGATTGAATGTATTAAAAAATGTAAAATAAATAAATAAATAAATGAAAAAGAAAAAAAAAATAAACCACCCACATGAAGAAAGACATAAGATTAGGACTCAAATTTTAAAATGTTTTGCAAGATAGAATTGCTGGATAGAAGCACACATAGACCACCGAATATGATGCCAGAAACACAGTGATTGCTCTGCCAGGACAAAAATTGATTGCCTAAGGCCTCACCAATCAGACATCCATCTGTAAATCATGTGCTTTTGAACCAATCATCAAGCAGATTGTATACCTGAGATCACCTAAGCTTAATTTTGTCCTTGACAATGCATGTGTGGAAAACTGCAGGGAGAATGGGTCTTCTCAGCATTAGCTGCCTGTGCTCCTTGCCTTGCCCATGGCCGTAAAGCAGTACTCTCCTTCACCATGCTTCACGCTCATAGTTTTATTAGTGACCCATGGTCAGGAAATCTAACCCTGGTAACAATAATGTGAAAAGATAAATAATAAGCTCTTTAGATCATGAACTTCCCAGTTCTACATTTATATTATACTCTCTCAATTTTCATTGTATTTTAACTACGGGCCTATCTACTAACTTTATTTTGCCCCAAATTGGTACCCAATATGTACACAACAGGTACTCACGTAAAACATCTGAATGATGCATTTTACATTCTGTGGCCCTTTCTTCTTACAATTCCATGCTTCTTCAATGTTTACACACAATTGGATCAGATTTAATGTTGGACATTTATTTTAGGTTAAAATAATGTAGATATTGGTACCAGCAGGTGGCGTAATGGTTACATTGCTGAACTAACATGTACTCACAATTGGAATCCCTGACATGGGGGGCTTAAAATTCATGCCAGATGCTTGTGTGTGCATGCTAAAGGTCCTAAGAGGAGAATGGTGGAGATGGGATTGTGGTGTGGCTACCGCCCCTGGAAGGTGATTTCTCATTTTCTGTCTCTCTTTGGGTGTGCACACACGCCCTATAGCAAAGTCTCTCTTAAAAATAAATAAATAATGGAGACATTATAAAACTAAAATAATAACTAAGACTGCTGTTACGTTACTGTTCCTTGTATTAGTATATGTCTCATGTAATATTTTGTAAACACTATTTTCGAAAGATACATAATTAAAATGATTAAAAGTAAGTTCAGGATGCACTCATCATTATCAACTCTCTCACGAGGTATTTTAATTCCGTTTCCTGTGAGAATCCCCTGTGAATTTTTTGAAAGAGAAAACAAAATAGATAAAACAGCCTAATGGGAAGAGAATATTTTAAAACCAAGTTTTCCCTCTAGAATATGAAGAAAGAAAAGAAAGAGAACCCATCATTCCATAACACTGAGGAATACTGTACAACATTGAATTAGGCTTTCCTAGTATCCAGAGTCAGGGTATTGTTATTATTACAAAAAATTTTAGTAAAAAAAGGAAAAGATACTAAATGCTAATCCTTGGATTGTAGGTTTTGGGGCAGTCCTTTCACATTTAAAGGATGTTCTCTCCCTATAAATTTCATCCATATGCCAGATGGTTCCTCTCATTTCCATTGTTATTGCTCTTTGAATCTGACTCATGATTTGAGTCCTTTCCTTCTTAGGGACCAAGAGGATCGCTTAATTCACAAACTGTACAACTCTCTCTCCTCTGTTTGCCTGCTTCCCTGTAAGTACTGCCTCCATTCTGACCAGGTCCCACATTTTTGTGTTCTGTTTCATGCTTTTTGTTCTTTTCTTTGTTTCCCTTTCTTTCCTCCCTCCCTTCAGCCCTGCTTCTAAATATTTTTTTCTTTTGGGGTACTTATCCACAGTCCAAGAAAGCAGAGTCTCTAGCTCAGAGATCTTCCTCTGAAACTAGTGGCAAACTGCACATTTTGCTGCTTTCCCACAGCCATAGCCTCTAGATTTTCTTCTAAACAACAAATCTGTACCAGAAACATTGATGTTCAATGACATATTTTGCAATAATGAATATTTCAGACTTTCCCACTTTTAACAGGACCTCTTAGATACTAAGGTATGGTCTGCACTTTCTGGCCGCCACTGAGACTTTTACACCTTCCCACCTGGGCCTCCCCGACTTTGGGAATAGGTTTTCTATCCTGGTGATTCCTATAGCATGTTCCATCTCACGGTACATGAACAGGACAATCTGGCTGAGCTCCAGCTAAACACTGCGTAAGTACCGTTACTATGTAAGAAAGAGAAAGGCAGAAACAGACCGGGGGCTCTATGAACTGTTTCAACACTGACACTTAAGTAAAGCAACAGCACTTTCGGGTTTGTGCAGACTGCTGCTATAGGGTTACATAATCGTTAAGTATATTGTCCATTTCTTGCCTCATTTCTTTTTCCATTTTCTAATTAACTTACGAATTAGATCAATTAACTTGGGCTATCAGAATTTCTTCTATAAGTAACAAATTATTATGTTCACTCAGAAAAATTAAAACTTTGGAAAGCTTCTCAAACTTTGAGAATATAGTGTTATGTCTTTAGACTTACATAAATATTGTGTTTGATGGACTTAATTCATTTGATAAATTATTGATTCTGTATCTGTTGGGGATCAAATACTTCAAAGGCATTGCAGCATGGCCATTCCCTGTGGAGGGTACTTTTTTGCTTGGCTCCTCTCGCTCTGTCTCTTTCTAGTGAGCACATGCACTTCTGGCAGGTTCTTTAAAAGAGAAAGGAAAAAAATGAAAGTTCTCCACACACAGGACATCTATTCTATTCTTGTGAGAACAGTTCAGAGGGATTTCCTAAGAATCTTTATCTGCATGAGACAAGTTGGGTCCTGTACAGTTTCTCCTCTTTGCCTTTGTCTTTTCATAACTGTTGGTCTTATTCATCTTCCAAAAAAAAAAATCATATGCTATCACCTGAACAGTTTACTGTCACGTACTAAACATTTACTGTCATCGGCCTTGTTAATTGCTCTCCACACTCTGTAAAGGGATTTGTATGCTACAAAAATCTGATCCCTCTTTCGAGTTCATATGTGCTATGGTTCTCCTGTATGCATATACACATTAAAGGAAAGGTGGATGCATTTTCTCCTGTTAATTTGTCTTTTATTAGTGATTTTCAATGAACCTCAGAGGAAGAGGGAGTTCTTTGTCCATGAATAGGCAAGACTGATATTAAATGTCTCAAAAAAATTAGTGGAAAATAACTAAAACTTTAAACATCCTAGAAAGTAAATTAATGATAACTAGTATTTGAATATGGTATGAGAAAAGAGAGACTCCAAAGATACAAAATTATAGTTTTATAGAGGAATAATTTCTGATGTTCTATAGCATAATACATAATAACAAAAATTTTTAATTTTTGAAAAATTCAACATGTGGCATAAGGAAAGTATTTAAAAAATAAAAGAATACTTTCTATTTTAAGTTTTTAATTTGTGTTCACAGATATATAATTAAAGTTTCAAGTAAAACGTGTTTGGTATGTAAATTATTTGGCATTTGTTAAACCCGTGAAGTGACTACATATTAAATGACTACTTAGCTTCAAGGGAGGTACCAAATATAGATTTGTGTGTGTGTGTGTAGGAGAGAGAGAGAGAGAGAGACAGAGAGACAGAGCATGTGTGTGTCATTTAACTACATTTTTAGAAGTCAGTAGAACTTGGTAGTTTACTGTCTTATCATAAGCCTTACATGTTTCCCAGAAAATGCAATAAAATGTAACCATGCTCTCAGGATTTCATTCTTTCTTGTTTTCATTTATAGACTTCACAGAAATCAACAATAAAAAATGAAAAATCGTACATCTGTGAAAGAGTTCATTCTTCTGGGATTAACAGATGATCCAAATCTAAATATTCTGATTTTTATATTTCTATTTCTCACATATATATTGAGTATCACTGGAAACCTGACAATTATTACCCTCACCCTGATAGATTCACACCTCAAAACGCCTATGTATTTCTTTCTTAGGAATTTTTCTTTCCTAGAAATCTCATTTACGACGGTTTCTATTCCCAGATTTCTAGTTAGCATTGTAACAGGGGAGAAGACCATTTCCTATAATTCTTGCATGGCCCAGGTGTTTTTCTTCCTACTGCTTGGTGGAACAGAATTTTTCCTTTTGACGGCCATGTCCTACGATCGCTATGTGGCTATCTGTAAGCCACTGCACTACACGACAATCATGAGCAGCAGAGTCTGCATCCAGCTTGTTCTTAGTTCTTGGGTGACTGGATTTCTCATCATCTTTCCACCTGTCATCATGGGGCTGCAGCTGGATTTCTGTGCCTCCAACATCATTGACCACTTCAGTTGTGACTCCTCTCCTATGCTGCTCATCTCCTGCTCAGACACAGCCTTCCTAGAGCTCATGGCATTTTTCCTGGCAGTGTTCACGCTCATGGTCACCTTGACCTTAGTGATTCTTTCCTATGCATTAATTCTTAGGACAATCCTGAGAATCCCTTCTGCTGAGCAAAGGAAAAAGGCCTTTTCCACTTGCTCCTCACACCTGATTGTTGTCTCTATTTCTTATGGAAGCTGCATTTTCATGTATGTCAAAACATCAGCTAAAGAAGGAGTGGCTTTCACGAAGGGCATAGCAGTGCTCAACACGTCTGTGGCCCCAATGCTAAATCCTTTTATTTACTCCCTGAGGAACCAGCAGGTAAAACAGTCCTTTAAGAACATGATGAAAAAGTATTTCTCAAATAAAGTTTAATCATAAAGAAAGTTAGAGCTTCAATTTTAAATGGAATTTTTCTGTAATCCAACTAATATTATTTAATTTCTTCTTCCACTTCAATATTCAACTTCTTTTTCTCTCAGGTTTTATTCTTTTTTTTTTTCATTTTGACTTCAATTATCCTCCAACATTGTATGCATGGAAGAATTCCTGGATTGGAATGATTTGATGTCTCAAAATTGAAAGTAACATTTACCAGGATGTCAGAATTTAGTTTAACTATTGAAAAATCTTGTATTTGAGCACCAAGCAAAATTAAGTGAAAGACAACCTTTATGTTTATTGAAATATGATCTATCCTAGTATATAAGAATAGAGAATACTAGAATAAGCTCTTCTGTGAGGCAAATTCTATTTTCTCTATTTTACCTTATTCCTTTTCATTATTACATTATGCCTGTTGGGTCACAAGTGTTATAGCTTCTTTGTGAACCACATCCTTAAACATTGAAATAAATCTTACTCAATGACTTTTTCTTTTTTAATCTACTGTTACACTGCAGGGCAGTGTAAATTGTTCTCTTAAAGAATTATTCATAATTCTAGTTGCTATTATTGTTTTTAAATTTGACCAGACAGTGAGAGAGAGAGAGAGAGAGAAAGGGAAAGCGAGAAAGCAAGCCAGCAGATTCAGGACTTGAACCATAGTCGACCATGTGGGAATCCAGTGCCTTTATCTACCACACCATCTGCTGGCCCCCTGAATGCCTTTTTGACCCATATACCAAAATGACTACAAGTGTGCTCGTGATCTCTGTGAGTCCCTGTGGAGCGCCCCCGCCCATCGCCTACAATGCTCGCCTAGCATGGCGGAAGCTCACCAAGTAATCCAAGTGGTAAACAACTTTGAGGTTTGACCAGACAGTGACAGAGAGAGAGAGAGAGAGAGAGAAAGGGAAAGCGAGAAAGCAAGTCAGCAGATTCAGGACTTGAACCATAGTCGACCATGTGGGAATCCAGTGCCTTTATCTACCACACCATCTGCTGACCCCCTGAATGCCTTTTTGACCCATATACCAAAATGACTACAAGTGTGCTCGTGATCTCTGTGAGTCCCCAATGCCTTTACTCTGAAGCATCCTAATGGACTATGCTGATGTCTGCTCTATAGCGCACTCCTTTCCGTAACTTGCTGATGCTGAGCTAAAACTATTCTGAGTCTCCCTTGGAAAAAACCCGACTTGCTTTTGTTTCCTTAAATCCTAACTTGCCTTTTGGTTTCATGAAATTCAATTTCTTTTCTTTTAATTTTTCATATTTACTATTTTATGCTTTCTACCTCCTAGGTACTTTTCCTTGATCTTGGTACACTGATGATATACTAAACTATTTTCCAGTGTTTATATGGTTTAACTGTTTGAACAACAACAAAAAATTAGTTGTATACATTGGAGAGTTTGAGACTAAGCATGTTTACACAGTCTTCACCTTGACATATTTCTATCCTACATAGGATTTTAATATAACTTTACACTTAAAGGAATAAAACTTAGTACTCATCCATTTCCATTTTTCTCTCAAAGCAATGTATAACATATGCATCATTTAATTTACTAGGAGAATAGTTTTTGTAATAGTGTTTTGAATTTTCACTTCTTAGGTTCTCTTTTGTCTTCATCTAAAAGACAAGGTCTTAGAACAATTAATTTGTATAAGCAAGGTTACACAGGCTCAAAAATAGGTGACAATTAAAACTTTCAACTTAACCAAATTAACATTTGAAGACTAAAATAGCTTGTTGATATTTGTGTGTGTACAGCTCAGTTATAAGATTAATTAAATCTTCTGGTCAATAGTGCTTTACTAAATTAATTATTAGAATTGGAATTTATACTGGACTCTTTTAGGCATCAGAGACCTAAATGTTCTAGCTATTCAAGAATTATGTTTGTCTTTATCTCTTTGCATTATAAGCTTTTCTTTTTTTTTCTTTTTCTTTTTTAATTTTTTGTAGGTACTTTGGAGATTCTATGTAAATTTGAGTTTGCCTTGCATCTATTGATGTGGCTGTGATTCAAGCAACATGGTGATCCTCAAGTCCAAATTCCTTAATGGGCATAGGCAGAAGGAAATAATGTTCTGATAAATGTTTAACAGGGTCTCCAAAAATAATAAAAGAGCCATACTAAACATATTTATAAGTTACCTATATTTGCAATTCAATGCAATCACACTCTGACAAATGGAGTGAAGTTTTTTTTGGTTTGTTTGGTTATTTTTTTTAGAGAGGTTTTTGCTATAGGGCTTGTGTGCTCACTGGCAAGAGAGAAACAGAGAGGCCCAAACCAACCAAACCCACTCCGCCATCTTCCGGTGGCGATAGCTGTGCCACACTCCCTTCTCCTTCATTATCCTCTTGTGATTTTTGGGAATGCACACACGTGCCTGGCATGAGTTTAAACCACCAGGTTCAGGACTCAAACTGCGGTCAACTACATGGGATTCCAGTGACGTAACCACTAGGCCATCTTCTGATCCCAAATGGAGTTAAATTTCAATTTGCTCAATCTTTTTCCTTAACTCTGATATTAGTTTAAAACACATACATATTAATATTTAAAATTATTTAATTATATTTTTATAACTTGTATTTATATTATTGATTATTTTTTCAATTTTTGCCAAAGGGCATGTGCACTTACTAGAGAGAGAGAGAGAGACAGAGATAACTATAAGAATCATCCTTCCCCCACCTGGGGATGGCCATACTTCAATACCTTCTTTTCTATTCTCCTCTCCAGATTTTGTGCATGCACACATGTGCACCCAGCATGTTTATCAAGCCTTCGTGTCCAGGACGCTACCTGCAGAGCTAGCCATGTGGGATCTAGCACATTAACCACCACACCACCTGCTGGCCCCTATATTACTGATTTTTAAAAATATCTGCTTGCCAAGGTTTCCAAAAACAACAAGGTGTCACCCACATATAATAACAAAATTAAAAACTGAAAGTGTAGTATTAGACTGTTAAATTATATTCACTCTGCACCTCAATTTACTCTTTCTTCAGTAAACCATTTTTTCATCTTTCTTTCATAACATATTCTCCTAAATGTGCAGCTTTAGATTGTCTTTTGCCCTGTAGATAATCATCACACAGTAATATTACAATGAAATTTTAATTAAAACATGAGCATATGATAGCTACTCAGGTTCTTGGTTTTGATCATTGATAATTTAACATGATCTACTTTGATCTTAAAATACCTATCATACTATAAAAGCTTTTTTTTCTATGCATTCTGTATTGCTTAATCGTGTATCTTTAATAATTTGGTAATAACTTTATCTTACATATTATGATGGCTTCCAATGAAACATTATACATAATCTCAAAATGTTAGTTTAGGAAGCATCTAGTATATCTTGTGTCCATTAAATAATTGCAATGTTCACTTAATCTTTTCTTTTAAGAATTAATTAATTAATTACTTTAATTTAACCAGGGAGAGACAGAGTGAGAGAGAGAGAGAGAGAGTGAGAAAGCAAGCCGCCAGGTCCGGGACTTGAACTGCGGGCAGCCATATGGGAGTCCAGCGTCCCTAACCACCACGCAACCTGCCGGCCCCATCAATGTTCACTTAATTTTAACTATTTATATAATTAATGGAGTGCTTGGATTAAATAACTATTAAATATTTCTTAAAATAGCTACCATAAAAAAGATATCTAAGAAAAAAATAAATTGACATGTGTATAGGAAAATTGTTTGCATTGGACATGGGAAAGAATTCTGAGAATTTTAAAATATTGTAGACTTTGTTTTTCTTTCTTTACTATTCTAGAGGGCACATGTGCTTGACAGAGAGACTCATGGAAAATGGTCATGCCACAATTCCTTCTCCTCCAGCTCTCCCTCCTTTTGATATTTTAGGCTTACACACATGCTCAGTAGTTTTGTGACTTAAACTATGTAGTTTGCCCTGGGACAACTGACTAATCACCATACCATCAGCTAGCCCACCCCTGACTTTTAACTGAAAAAATGATA